ATCTATTAAAAATCTAAATAAATGGGGCTGACTATTGCCAAAGTTATGAGTAAAAGTATTACGGCTTAATTCTCTGTATTAGGTATACAATACTGCCACATTTTTTGGATAATTACTCAGTTTAACATTTGGCGACAGTACGCTGGTTTGGGGTGGCAAGCCTCAACTATATTAGGTGTATTCGACGGGTCTGTTTTGAGCAGCCTGCTCTTTCTACTCAAACTGCACATGTCGTATTCGATTGGTCGCACGAGCAGCACAAACTCCTCACAAGAGCGGCTTGAACTCCTTACTGTTTTTGAACGAGCACACCCCGAGCTCCTCGGAAAAGGAATAGCCGAATACGCCTATTGTTCATCTTAGTACAGGTATTTAGAGTTGCGACCACTTATAACAAAAAAATTCATATCATTTATTTTCATCAATTCAAAAAAATATATACAAAAGACAAGACAATACCCTTGTCAGTGGCAGGATAAACAAACTTCTCCTCTAGTGTACCTAGGTAGGTCTAAAATAAAACAAGCAGCCACATACGAGATACTACTGTAGGTATATTACGGCACGCTATGGCTGGGTCTGATGTTGACTAAACAGAACCTCTCCTTTGGGACACCCTAATTTAGGGGACTTTTCTGTGAAACAGGGGGAAATATATAATTTTGTACACCCTATTAGAGAGACACTTTATGATATAATATTGGACCCATCTAGACAAGCCTATTCAAGAGTTGGACGGATAAAGGACTCAGGAAAATCGGAGGAGGAGAGAGTACAGTATGCATCATATTCAGCATTTACGAGCAGATTCCTTTATCATTGGTGCCTTTTCTTGCGTTAGCAGAAAAAAAAATTAATTGTTTTTGTTCTGTTTTTATATACATTTATAGAGTTGTCTCAGGTTATTGCACAGGGTTTTTCTGGTTGGCACTTTGGTCACATTTTGTGCCTGGATCTTCTTCAAACTTTGTCCGAGTAAAGACCATATTGAAGATGTGCATATTAAAATATATTATTGCATCATTCTACATATTTTGATATTAATAAACTTGTAATAAATCTTTTATGCTGTTTTTTTTTAAATGTATTTTTTACTTTATACCGTATTTTTAGTTGCATACTCTAGTTTCTATTTGGGTGTCCCATTTCAAGTATACTCCAAGCAGATCCGTTCGACTTCGTGTCATCTGATTTAAGAGGTTGAACAAAACTTTTCTAGTTTTTGTTGCTTTGAAGTCTGATGGTTGATTTCAGACCATTCGCTAAATCTGTTTGAGGCGTCATTAGGATAAGTTTTTTCAGTACTTCCATCCATGAGAATACTAAATCAAAAAGTTCGTTCAGTCAAAGGAACGTACATCTACAAGGTTCTGGTCAACACCAATTGCTATCACTTTCTCAATATTGCATGGTCAATTAAATCATAGTCGTTGCTATAATCGTTTTCTTGGTCAGTGTCAAGGTTTACATTTTTGTAATATACCGGTAGTTCTCTGAAACAAAGGCATTCTGCTAGCTCACATACCCAAATTGATTCAATGTATTTTTTCAGGTACAGTACTTGGTTATAAATGCGACTTCCAATAACAGCTTCAATCTGCTTACATGAATACATATGTCCTCTTCATTTTTTTTTTTGTGAGGGGGGGGGGGGTGGGGGGTGGTTAGTTTTAGGGATTTGCTCAATATCAGCTGGCA